GAACGACCAGTCACTATGATTCGCACTGACCACCAGGAGGCAGACGCTCAATGCAGCTGCCCCCTGGTGGTCAGTGTGCCAGAAGCTGGACTCACAGGCCTAAGCTGTCAGTTGGGCATCCCCCGAGGGCTCCCGGACTGCAAGAGGGATGTCTGACTGCCCACTTGGGCCCAATCCCCCAGGGAGTGGTCCTAAGCCAGAAGGTGGACATCCTCCGAGGGGTCCCAGACTGCAAGAGGGCATAGGCCTGGCTGAGGGACCCCCCCCCCACTCCCGCCGGAGTGCACAAATTTTTGTGCACCGGGTCTCTAGTGATTTTATAAAATACCATCTGCTCCTGGTGATAGTTCAGCATCACACATTTCCATCAGAGGAAATGGACCACATTTAAAATTCCAGCCACCTTAACTTTTATGAGACACACATGTACTTTTCCATAGGAAAAACAAATGTGGTAAATACCCTTCTGAAAAGCAGAATATGACCCCCTTTTTTTTTTAAAGGAAATTACTTATGATTTCTTAGTGAAGAAAGCTGTTCTATCTCTTTTTTTAAAATATATTTTATTGATTTATTACAGAGAGGAAGGGAGAGAGATAGAGAGCTAGAAACATCGATCAGCTGCCTCCTGCACATTTCCTACTGGGGATGTGCCCGCAACGCAGGCACATGCCCTTGACCGGAATCGAACCCGGGACCTTTCAGTCCGCAGGCCGACGCTCTATCCACTGAGCCAAACCGGTTTTGGCATGTTGTATCTCTTGAGGGTAGACAAACAGTCGTTGTGAGAAACTGGTGACTGGAGACTCCCTCGTGGTGTGCAGGCACTTGCTGGCTCCAGACATTCCGTTTGGCTGCTCAGAACCCTGGGCAGCCAATGAAGCTCCTTAAGGGCCGGTCTCCTCAGGTCCTGGAGATGATTTCCGTGAGGCCCTGTAGCGATGGCCTACACGTGGATGCTGAGTCTTTCGAGGTGAGCTTATGCAGACCAGACACCCAGTAGAGGAGCTGGCCTGTGCTTGGCTCGCACCACTAGCAGATGCTGCATTCACAATCCACTCCAGTGTCCCTTTGTCCGGTTGGCCGTTCAACCAATCAAAGTGTAATATGCTAATGATATGCTAAGGCCACTCAACGACTCACTATGACATGCACTGACCACCAGGGGGGCAGTCGACTGGTTGACCAGTCGCTATCATGTGCACTGACCACGAGGGGGCACACGCTCAGACTAGTAGGTTAGCTTGAAGCTGGGGTCCAGCCGATCAGGACTGAGCAAGACGGGCAGGACACGCCCTGGAGCCCTCCCGCCATCCTTCCCAAGCTGGCCAACTTCCCATGTCCCTCCCAGGCCCCAATCGTGCACCGATGGGGTCCCTCAGCCTGGCCTACACCCCCTCGCAATCCGGGA